CTTTGATATTTTCTTAGCTAACTGTTAATGCTGTTTATTATTTGTTAGGGTTTGAAAAAGAGAGCTATCACGGGTTCACGTAGTCTGCGTACGAGAACGAGATTCGATGACCAATGACCAGTGGGCTAGCTATTGCTGCGCCCCAGCCCCGCTATCAAGAGGGAGAAGTCCAAGCTTGAAATAAGAAGTGTATTCTGCAGCAACCAGAGAAAAAAGCGAAGTCCCTTTAGTAGAAAATATACTCGTTTATATATTGATTGTATTATTACATCATATTGTATCAATATTCATAAGCTTATTGCCAACTTACCAGCAATTCACAAAATCTTATCTAAGCTACACATTTCCTGTGTATATTAACCAGTTCCAATTGAGTTTGTTGACGTTTTCGAATAAAAACTTCATAACAATATGAATAAAATTATTAAAACTTGAAAAAACGAACACAGTCAGTCAGCTGCAAGAAGGACCAGGCACATATATGCATCGGTCCAAGTTGCCATACCGCATTAGCACAACAAGATGAACACTGGATTCATAGAAGTAGTTAATCCAATGGTGGTAATATATAGAAGAAAGATTGCATAGTACAGGAATAAAGAATTAATTCCTAGAAAGAAAGATATAAAGCGATTTTAGTCTCTTACTTTGAAAGAAAACAGAGAGCGTATACATCAACGCCATTGTGACCGATTCTGGGTCATGTTACGCAGTCTCCAACTACTGCTTACAATAGTCGCACGTACCCAAATCTAGTAGTCTGCATCCACTAACATGGCTCAGACCAGAAGTTAGTGACTTCAAGCACTGATGCCACGTGTTGGTTTGGCCGCCCCTAACTTTCTTCCAATTATCACTAACACCGGTTAGCATTGCGCGTCGTGGTAATCGGTGTTCAGGCATACGCAACACGTGGCCCAACCATCTCAGTCGATGAAGATTCACAACCTAGTCAACTTGATTTACCATCATTCCCTAATACCCTGCATCTAACTTCACTGTTACTTACATGGTGATCCCAGCAGATGCGAGCAATATTTCTAAGACATCTGTGATCAACTACTAGCAACTTACAAGTATCTTCTACTCTTAATGGCCGTATAGTAGAACAGAACGAACTGTCGCGCAGTATACTCGTCCCTTAATTGATAGACGGAAATCTCGCCTTCGTCATAGACGACGTAAGTTGGTAAAAGCCAAACGAGCTCTTCGAATCCGTGCTGAGATTTCGTCAGACACCAACCCCATTAGGGCTGATCAAACTTCCAAGTGGAGTGGAGGGTAGTTGTAGAGTAGTTGAAGGCCAGCTGAACTGTTCTCTAAAATGTTCCGCCCATCGTTCTAAACGTCTGAATTGGAAGTAGATGAGAAAGTCTGACTTACACTTGACTTATTAATTCCAGTTTCGTTTATTAGTCTGTAGAGCTGTCTTGTGTTCCCTATAGCCGCCGCCTTATCCATCTCTTTTGCTTTCGTTGCCAACCACTGCTCACCGTCGTTCCTTAGAACTTTGCCTAACCTAGATCAGTTTGGTTCTAGTGGGTCTTTCTAGTGTACCTTTTTTCGTCCAGTGAGGCGCAAGCAGATGCGCGCTCGTTCAAGTGCGTGGTCGGAGTCCAAACAGGTACTCCAGAATGTGCGACAATCATCTATTGACCCTCTCCAACGATGACTGATGGCAATATGGTCTATTTGAGTTCATCGTTGATTTGGTGCAAGGGGTCACCATGTCAGACGCTGTCTGTCCTTATGCTTAAAATTCGTATTTGCTAAAAATAATCGATTATCTGAGCAAAGTTGCAGCAGGCGATCACCATTATCTGTTCTCTGTGCAGGAATGCTAAAATTCCCACCTAAATGTCTTTCTGTTTCGTTTAAGCTATCTACCTGGGCATTAAAGTCACCTGCTACAAGTACTATGTCTGAACGTTTAGCTTTCTGAAGAAGTCCAGAGATTTTTCTGTAAAATTCATCTTTCACTTCATCCGAGCTGCAGTCAGTGGGAGCGTAGGCAGAAACGACGAAAATGCAACGACGTATGTCCCTATCCTTCCGAGATCTTACGGAGCCGTTTAGCCGAACAGCGTATAGACGACTATTAACGGGGATCCACTCTAATAGCTCTTGTTCCGCCCTCATGCTTAGTGCTATGCCTACACCTGCTAGTCCGCGAGAACTATCTATCGGGTCGCCAGATACACGGAGGGTGTATCTCGCCGGCACTCCGTTTTGTCGAGGTGAGATCAAGTGAATGACCACGCCAGGCTCCTGTATGCGTGTTTCGGAGACACAGCATACATCAATGGTACGAGATTCTAGGGTTTTAGTCAAGGAAGCCTGCTGACCGATTTGGCATAGTGTGCGTACGTTGAAGGCTCCAATGTGTAGTTTGGAGCGAGGTTTCAGTAGACCTGGGACAGTGTTTTGCGCACTAGAATCGTTGGCTATGGGGACACTTGAGGAGAAAACTAAAGGAGGAAGTTTAGGTTTGAAAGTCGGTGTAGGAGGAATAAGAGGAATTGAAGAGGGAAGTTGATTATAAATGCAGTGGTCATGAGTGCTGTTAGAGATATGAAAGCCGTGATCACTTCCCGTTTGCACAGTGAATGCTGAAAGCCAAGTGGCAATAATTCAATCCAAATTCTAACAGCACGTTACCACAAACATATTTAACAGTGAAACTACAATCATACAATATCTGATTGATTCGAAATACAAGATTCAAGCTAATTTAGCGATCCCTCAAATTGGAAATCAAGTTGTTGATGGGCCACAATATTTGCATAAAAATTTAGATAGCAGAGAAAATTCTACATTAACTTGTGTAATTAAGATTTCACTTGGCAGACAAAAACACTATTTCACTAAGTGCATCACCAGTAAATTGTAGGATTATGTACGGTGATTTTCTATTCACCGCACTCCACTTATTCCAGCTCTTATGGTTACGTATTTGTGTATAAACGTTTAGAGTATGCATTTTTCCAAAAGTATTACGCAAGGCCTTTATGTTCTCTTTAACTATGTGCGTATATTAGTACGTATTACATAGCCGAGTATTTTAAACGGTTTCTTCATACTGTAGATGTATAAAATCAAGTAAATATGTGTATTTTTCACGTCTGACTGCTTCTTACTGATCCATCAGCTCTTTTTAAAAGGCTGTTCTACATTTATTCACGCTTATAGATGTGAACTTTATAACAAAAATTTATTGTATAATAACAATATGATATACTTAGCATAATAGTTTGCATGCAAAATCAAAATATTACAGATTATAAGAAAGTTTGTTTTAAACTACTTCGTTAGGTTGGTATTCTTTTGTACAAAGATTTTGCAGCTAAACCTGAAAAGGACATTCGCGGTGCAACTCATTAACAACTCTTATGTGACGTTAATAGAA